TGGCCAGGGCCGAAGCGCGCGAGAGAGGCGAACGGGCGGAGCACGACGTCAGAGGATCGAGCCCATCGCCCGGTTAACAGGTGAAACCCCCGGTCTCTACTAAAAAATAACAAAAAAGCCTAGCCCGGCTAAGGGTGCGGGGCGCTGTAGGTCCCAGCTATCCGGAGCGAGGCTGAGCAGGAGAATGCGTGAAAACCCGGGGAGGCGGAGCTGCTGTGAGCTGAGATCGGCACTGCACTGTCCAGCCTGGTGAACAAGAGGCGGAGACTCCTCCAAGAAAAAAAAAAAAAAAAGAAAAACAACAAACGATATTTCAAATAGTAGAGTCTCAGGGAAGTTGTAGACTGAAAAAGAATACATTTAAAACAACAGGGCTGGTGGGGCTTATGCGCTGTCAATCCTGACCTTTGGTAGCGAGTGGTGTGGGATTGCTTGGAGCTCCAATAATTTTGGCAGGAGGAAGAGACGCGCAGTATCTTCAAAAAATCAAAGTAAATTTTAAAAAGCAATTAAAAAACAGCTGCAGGCCTCGCTTACTAAACCAACGAGGAAAGGTTTTGTTTTGTTTTGTTTTGTTTTTCTCCCTTACAGCCTAACAGAAAACAAAACAAAACAGAACAAAAAACTTCTCCAATAAAATAGTGCACTTGAAGAAAGAGTTACTGTTTTTGGCAATTGTTCGCTAAAGGGTTAACTCAGCATCTCCCCTTCCCAAGAGTCTTGTGTGGGATGAGAGAGGAGAGGACTGATTACATTCTTTCTCCACATAAACTTTCACCCACCCTCCTTCTGAAAATAACTCTTTATCTAGAACTTAAGTGGGATGGGGTCTAATGGAATTTCATGTGTGAAATTTTTATTTTTTTAATATGAGAACAAGAAACAACAAACCAGTGCAGCAAATGCCACTAAATTGTACACTTAAAAATGGTTAATGGTTCATTTTATTTCTGTGCATTTTACCTCAATACAAAAAAATGAGTAAAACTACCTTAATTTGGGATCTCTGAAAATCTTTCCTGGTCATGAAATTTGTCCATCCTGTTTTGGGTTTGTAAAGGGCTGGATCAAAACTGAAAAAAATTTAGCCCTGTGAAGATGCCTTGGACACAAAGTTTGAGGTGTGGTCCCAGCTCTGCTTCATCTTGGGGATCCTTTACTCTTTACTCTCACTATGCCTCCATTTCTTCTCTTTTTTTTTTTTTTTTTTTTTTGTTTTTGTTTTTGAGACAGAGTCTCACTCTGTCACCCAGGCTGGAGTGCAGTGGCACGATCTCTGCTCACTGCAAGCTCCGCCTCCTGTGTTCACACCATTCTCCTGCCTCAGCCTCCCGAGTAGCTGGGACTACAGGCACCTGCCACCAGGCCTGGCTAATTTTTTGTATTTTTAGTAGAGATGGGGTTTCACCATATTAGCCAGGATGGTCTCGATCTCCTGACCTCATGATCCGCCTGCCTCGGCCTCCCAAAGTGCTGGGATTACAGGCGTGAGCCACCGCGCCTGGCACTGCACCTCCATTTCTATTATGAAATAGCAGATTTGAATATCGGATCTCTTCCAGATGTAAACTGTTTGATTTAGAATCAAGAGGTGATTTACATCTTTATTGTTATCTTTCAGTAGGGTTCCTTTTACGTTGCATTATTCCGTAAGGCTAGAGACTGTGATCTGATATAAGCATTGAAACCCAAGCAAATCATTTTCACTGGTGTCTCTTCTTATTTATTTATTTATTTATTTATTTATTTATTTTGGCATTCAGGCTCTTTAATGTCTGAGGATGGGGGGAAGAAGTCAATGGTGAGGCTTCTCTGGGAAATTCTGCAGGCCTTGTAGTTCTCTAAGTCCCTCTAGCAACATGTGGATATGGGCTTTCATATTCATGGAGTCCTTGGTGAGGCTGTTGCTGAGCTCTGTGAGGAGAGAGCTCTTACGATCAATGAACTGGAGAGCTTCTGCCAGTGTCAACTCCAGGAAAAAACCATATCCCAGGGCCACATAGATGCATGAAGTATCTGGGACCACCGTGTCAGTGAAGAAGTTACAGCCAAATCTACCTGCATATATAACTCTGAGTGCTTAGCTTCCTGGAGTCGCTCAATGACGTTTCTCAGTTGAAGGTATTTGGCCAGCTGTTCATGTATCTTGTCTCGATGGTCCAGCACCTCTCGCAAGTCCCGCTGCAGCATGTCACTGATGAAAGTCTTGTGGCGCAGCACTCTCTCCCTCGTGGCCTCCACTGCCCACCACTTAGGGGGCGTTGCCATGATGGGCTCCTCAGGGCCGCCAGCAATAAGCTGGTGTCTCCTTACCTAGGTACTCATTCATCCAGAAAATCCAAACAAACAAACACGAAACAAAAAGGCCAGACACTGTGGCTCACATCTATAATCCCAGCCCTTTGGGAAGCAGAAATGGGTGGACGGATCGCCTGAGCTCCAGACCAACCTGGGCAACATGGCGAAACCCTGTCTCTACAAAATAAACAAAAATTAGCCAAATGTGGTGGTGCACGCCTGTAGTCCCAGGTACAGGGGAGGCTGAGAAGCAAGGATCCCTTGAGCCCAGGGGTCTGAGGCTGCAGTGAGCTATGACTGCACCACTGGATTCTAGCGGGGGTGACAGAGTAAGACCCTGTCTCAAAAAACAAACAAACAAACAAACACAACACAAAATGAAAACAGTAACAATTTAACATATTCCAAGATGCAAAACTAAATAAAACCCAATTCTATCCCCAAGAAGTTTGCAGTCCACTGATCATTACATAACTACAGTTGGCCCTTCCTCTCTGTGAGTTCAGCATTTGTGAATTCAACCAACTACGGATTGACAATATTTGGAAAATGCTTTGGCATGGTGGCTCACAGCTGTAATCTCAGCATTTTGGGAGGCTGAGATGGGTGGATGACTTGAGCCCAGGAGTTCAAGACCAGCCTGGGCAACGTGGCAAAAGCCCATGTCTACAAAAAATACAATAATTAGCTAGGAATGGTGGTGCATGCCTGTAGCTCCAGCTACTCAGCTACTGGGAGGCTGAGGTGAATCCCTTGAGCCTGGTAGGTTGAGGCTGCAGTGAGCTGAGATCATGTTACTGCACTCCAGCCCAACAGAGCCAGATTCTGTTTCAAAAAAAAAAAAGAAAGAAAACAATATTCATCTGTTTTGAACATGTACAGATTTCTTTCTTATTATTCTGTAAACAATACAGCATAACAACCATTTGTATAGTATTTACATTGTATTAGGTATTATATGTAATCCAGAGGTGATTTAAAGTATATGGGAGGATATGGATAGGTTATAAATATGTCACCATTTTGTATCAGGGACTTCAGCAGCCTTGGATTTTGGTATCTACGGGGCTCCTAGAACCAATCCCCCAGGAATGCCAAGGAAAAACTGTATTTACATAAACACAAATCACCAGTGCCCAGGAACAGCTTGGTTAGCAGTAAGGGCAAAGCACTATAGGTCTCCAATAGTTTGTGTAAATCAACTTCGCCCAGGGAGCTGGGAAAGCGGGTGAATCTGAGGATGGAGAGGCTGGGGAAGCACCAGCCAGGCAGAGAACACAGGTAAAGGTGGGGTTAGGGCAGATGAGAATGTGAGCTGAAGTCATGGCCTGAAAAGCCTCATATACACTATTATTCCTACCACGAAGATGAAGAACTCAGGCCTGGCATCTGAAACATGTGGCTCCCTATAGAGTCTTACTTATAGAGAGAAAAATAGAATTATCTTACAGTGGAGAAAACTGGCAAACACATCCTTATCCTGAGATCAAAGTTAGAAATCACCAGATGAGAAGAAATTGACGTCATGTGCTTACTGGATATAATGCACTGAGAATTCTGTGAAGTTTCTGCCAAAAATACCTCCTCTGAATTTAGTCATAAGGCTTCAGCCAAACCCAAACTTGAAGGACACTCTACAAAATAAATGACCAGTATTTTTCAAAAATATTAATGTCGGCCAGGTGTAGCGGCTTATGCCTGTAATCCCAGCACTTTGGGAAGCTAAGGTGGGAGAATTGTTTAAGACCAGGAGTTGGAGACCAGCCTGGGCAACATAGCAAGACCCCATATCTATTAAAAAAATTAATGTCATGGCCAGTGGCTCAAGCCTGTAATCCCAGCACTTTGGGAGGCCGAGATGGGCGGATCACGAGGTCAGGAGATCGAGACCATCCTGGCTAACATGGTGAAACCCCGTTTCTACTAAAAAATACAAAAAAAAAAAAAACTAGCTGGGCGCAGTGGCAGGCGCCTGTAGTCCCAGCTACTCAGGAGGCTGAGGCAGGAGAATGGCATAAACCGGGGAGGTGGAGCTTGCAGTGAGCTGAGATCTGGCCACTGCACTCCAGCCTGGGCGACAGAGCGAGACTCTGTCTCAAAAAAAAAAAAATTAATGTCACAAAAGAAAAAAAAGAAATTGATTGTTTCCAATTAAAGACAACTAAAGAGACATATTCACTGAACACAATACATGATGCAGGATTTCTTTTGCCATAAAGAACATTATTTGGACAACTGGAAAGATCTGAATAAGATCTATTATTATCGGGGGAAACCCCACCCCCGATATTCAATGTGGGTTCTTTTCTATTTCCCTAAGTGTCGGCTGGTCTGAGAAATAAAGGGAAAGAATACAAGAGAGGGAAATTTTAAAGCTGGGTATCCAGGGGAGACATCACATGTTGGCAGGTTCTGTGATTTCCCTGAGCCATAAAACCAGCAAGTGTTTATTAGTGATTTTCAAAAGGGGAGGGAGTGCACGAATAGGGTGTGGGTCACAGAGATCGCATGCTTCACAAGGTAATAAAATATCACAAAGCAAATGGAGGCAGGGTGAGATCACAGGACCACAGGACAGGGCGAAATAAAAATTGCTAATGAAGTTTTGGGCACACATTGTCATTGATAACATCTTATCAGGAGACAGGGTTTGAGAGCAGACAACCTGTCTGACCAAAATTTATTACGTGGGAATTTCCTCATCCTAATAAGCCTGGGAGCGCTACAGGAGACCCGGGGCTTATTTCATCCCTTTGGCTTTGACCATAAACGACAGCCACCCCCAAAGAGGCCATTTCAGAGGCCTACCCTCAGGGGCCATTCTCTTTCTCAGGGATGTTCCTTGCTGAGAAAAATAATTCAGCGATATTTCTCCTATTTGCTTTTGAAAGAAGAGAAATATGGCTCTTTTCCGCCCGGCTCACTGGCAGTCATAGTTTAAGGTTAGCTCCCTTGTTCCCTGAACATTGCTGTTATCCTGTTTTTTTTTTCAAGGTGCCCAGATTTCATATTGTTCAAACACACATGCTCTACAAACAATTTGTGCAGTTAACGCAATCATCACAGGGTCCTGAGGTGACATACATCCTCCTCAGCTTATGAAGATGATAGGATTAAGAGATTAAAGTAAAGACAGACATAGGAAATCACAAGGGTATTGATTGGGGAAGTGATAAGTGTCCATGAAATCTTCGCAATTTATGTTATTCTGCCAGTGGCTTCAGCTGGTCCCTCCATTCAGGGTCCCTGACTTCCCACAACATCTTATCAATAATAATATTGTATCAATGATCATTTCCTGACTTTCTGGTTATGTAAGAGAATGCCCTTATCTTTAGGAAATAGTAACTGAAGTATTAAGAGGTAAAGCCTAAAAAATTTAAAAGGTTGGACATGGTGGCTCACACCTGTATTGGAGCACTTTGAGGGGCCAAGGAGGGAGGATTGCTTGAGGCCAGTTTAAGATTAGCTTAGTCAACATAGTAAGACCCCTTCTTAAAACAAAATAAAACAAAACAAAACAAAATTTTTTTTTGAGATGAAGTCTCATTCTGTGGCCCAGGCTGGAGTGCAGTGGCGTGATCTTGGCAAGCTCCGCCTCCTGGGTTCACGCCATTCTCCTGCCTCAGTCTCCCAAGTAGCTGGAGCTACAGGTGCCCGCCACCACACCCAGCTAATTTTTTTGTATTTTTAGTAGAGATGGGGTTTCACCACGTTAGCCAGGATGGTCTCAATCTCCTGACCTCATGATCTGCCCACCTTGGCCTCCCAAAAAGCTAGGATTACAGGTGTGAGCCACTGTGCCCAGCCTTTTGTTTTTTTTGTTTTTTTTGTTTTTTTTGAGACAGAGTCTCGCTCTGTTGCCAGGCTGGAGTGCAGCGGCATGATCTCAGCTCACTGCAACCTCCACCTTCCAGGTTCAAGCGATTCTTCTGCCTCAGCCTCCCAAATAGCTGGGACTACAGGCGTGTGCCACCATGCCTAGCTAATTTTTGTATTTTTAGTAGAGACAGGGTTTCACCATGTTGGTCAGGCTGGTCTTGAACTCCAGACCTCAAATGATCTGCCCACCTTGGCCTCCCAAAGTGCTGGGATTACAGGCGTGAGCCACCGAGCTCAGCCTAATTGTTTTTTTTAAGGAGAAAAAAAATTTCCTTCATCACAGAACATTCTGTTTTAGAAAATACTCCAGCACTGATTCCATTCCTATGGCTTTTGTGCCTTGTCCCCTGGATTCCTTCTGCCAGAGCAGACTGCACAGCAGGTGTGCCCACTCCAGGCCCAAGGTGTGGCCAAAGCACAACTGGGTTTCTCTTGGGAGCAGTTAGGCATGTGGACTTGAGTGCACCTGTGTGTATGCAAGGCCCTTCATAGTGCCTGACAAATCCAGTGGTGGGGAGAAAAAAGGGCCAGCAGTGAGCTGAGGCATTGGGGCAGGGGTCCAGCTCTCCAACACTGTCACATTAAGATGCAGAATTCTGACCTCCCAAGTACTTGGGAGGTATAACCGTTAAGGCGAGAAGACAGACATATATATATATATATGTCAAAAACATATATATATAGAGAGAGAGACTTTCACTCTTGTGGCCCAGGCTGGAGTACAATGGCGCAATCTTGGCTCACTGCAACTTCCGCCTCCCGGGTTCAAGCAATTCTCCTGCCTCAGCCTCCTGAGTAGCTGGGATTACAGGTGCATGACATCTTGCCTGGCTAATTTTTCTATTTTTAGTAGAGGTAGGGTTTCATCATATTGGTCAGGCTGGTCTCAAACTCCTGACTTCAAGTGATCAGTCTACCTTGGCCTCCCAAATCGCTGGGATTACAGGTATGAGCCACTGTGCCTGGTCTTTTTCTTTTCTTTTTTTTTTTTTTGAGACAGAGTTTCGCTTTTGTTGCCCAGGCTGAGGTGCAATGGCGTGATCTCGGCTCACTGCAACCTCCGCCTCCCGGGTTCAAGCGATTCTCCTGCCTCAGCC